TCGACAGTGAAGTTGAAATAAAGCGCTCAGTCTGTCAGAATAACGGCTAAAGAGAGCCGTGTAAATAAAGCCCTCAGCTTTACCTGAAACACTGATGGACCGGAGGACCGAGCGACTCCGCACGGGCTTTATGCGAATCCCGGGACTCGGATGATGGTTAAAATCGGTGTGAAATCATGGGAAACGGCGGTTATTGGCGCAGAATCGTCCGGTTTGAGTCGCGCGAGGCCTCGAGCTGCAGGTCCCGCGGCGCTCGCGCTCAATCAACCCGCCTCGAGACTCTTTGTGTTCACGCGCGGAGCGAACAATAGACGCGCACAGGCCACACTGCTCTCTGTGAACTCGCTGCGAACCAACACGTGTATTCCATAAAGATATCAGTCACTCAATCACTCACTCACTCACTCACTCACTCACTCACTCACTCACTCACACACACACAATCTCTCTCACACACACACACACATACACACACACACATACTAAACACACACACACACACACATATACACACACACACATATTTATTAATTACTTTGCATTCTTATTTTTATGGTTATTTGTTATTGTTATATTGTACATTTAATTTTCTAGACAATATTGTAAGTAAACACGATCATGCCAATAAAGTACTTTAAACTGAATATAATTAGGAATAGGCAGATCGAATGTTTGAGACACGTTTATGCATTTTGTGCCCCATCTGAATTTCCAATTAAATTCGATTGAATGTAGTCTATTTTATTTGCACGAGAAATAATGAGCTAAAACGCTGTCTCTCTCAGTGAGATGGATCTGTCTGTCTCCCGCCCCAGCGCTGTTTGCTTGCTAAGCACTTTTCACATCTCTCTCTGTCATCACTTCACGTATCGACCGATAAAGAAATAAATCATGACTTACAAATGCACGCATCAACTCTACAGCACCAAGTGCAGCTTACATTCTGATCAGTTTACAGGCTTTCATGCAGAAAACAGATGCAAAGGCCTGTAAAACTCTGTGCTTTCAAAGAACATGCATTTTGTTGTCAGTCAGCAAGTCACAACATAAAGCATTAATAACACCATAACACACACTCCTGAGGAGATTAGCATACTCAAGCCTGTCAAAGCAAACCAATGATTCAATTACACACGCAAACATCTCAGCTGTATTAGTCCACTTCATAGTGTGACGCTCTTCGACTGACAAGCGGCCGATAAATGACAATTACACAGCTGGGAATTTCAGATAATCAATTCTGACCCAGGTCGATGGTAAGCCACTTAACGCAGAGCTGGATAATCAATGCAGATGGCGTTATAGACTGACAAGCAGTCCAGGTTCACGTCACGCTGTCAAAACATGTTGCAGTGCATTTGCATGTCATGCATATATGTTTCTGATATTTTTGAGATACTGACCCATTGCTGGAGGAAGACAGTTACCCATCAACAGCAGATTAAACACCATCCACATACATATATTAATACAAAGATTGTTTTTCTTCATAATGTCTTGATAAATGTATATTTATTTATTTTATTATTTTACATTTGATTATTTTTAATGTATTATTACTTTATTAAATATATATTTTAAATTAATTTAATCTAATTTAATTTGATTTATTTTAAATATAATTATATATGTATAATTATTGAATGAATTTCTTATTTTTATCAATTATCACCTTATTTAAAAAAATACACAAATAATAAAATACATTTTATATATATATATATATTACTTTTTTAATGTTTATTCTTTTTGGTTATTTTTAATTTATTATTAATTGTATATATTTAATTAAGTTTATTATTTTTCATTTTATTTGTTTTTAAATTTATTATAACTTAATTAAATATAATTACATATTTATAATTATTACATTTATTTGTTTATTTTTTTATCTAATTTTTATTAACACCTCATATTAATACAATTCTTATTTATTGGTATATTCTATACATTTCTTTTTCTTGTCATTACTTGTCTCCAAAGAGCATCTTCATATTATATGCACCAAAACACAAGCCAGAAATGCTGTGCATGAATATAAACACAGAATACAACAGGCACATGGGCCAATAAAAAGTCCTGAGGTCACGAAACATGCATCAACATGTTTGTCTGATCTGAAGCAGTTCCCGCGGTCACTATGGAAACGCTCTAAGGCTTGTGGCATTGAAGCGCTACACAAAGGTAAATCTCCTGATGTTTGTGGGGGTCAAACTCAGCTTTAGCCATCAGAACCACAGCTCAACACGACCCACGCTGCGCTGAACACGCGCTCAGATCCTTCAGAACCGCTCTGGGATCAGATCTCTGAGCCGATAAACCCGTTTAGAGATGCACTGCAGTCCCGTGTTGGCAGACTTTGTTTAACTTTACTAAAGCATGCTGGGAGAAGCACAAAGCAGCTCTGCAACACAATACACTGGGTAAATATGCATGGTTTTAGGGTTCACTGTTTGTTTCTAAAGACCAGTGCAGAGTCTCTCTAAATGTCAGCTCACTCTGAAAAGCAGCTTTGACTCAATATCATATCAGTGATGCAGACGTTACTGGAGGAAGACTACGATTCAAAGACCATCCACAAACATATATTATAGTGTTTTTTTCTTCATAATGTCTTGATACATGTCTATTATATATATTAATTAAATTATTTAATTGTATTTATTTTTTATTTATTATCATTCAATCAAATATAGACATTCTGAATTATTTTTTTTTTTATTTAATACATTTTTATAGAATTTACTACTTAAAATTGTATTGATCTTTAATGTATTATTATTTAATAACATATATAAGCTATTAATTTTATTATTTTTAATTATATAATGTTTAAATCATTATCATTCAAATACATATACACACACATTTTATTAGTTTTAATTTAATTGATATTTATACATATTATTTAAAATGTTATTTGTCATTTATTATTATTTAATTAAATATATAAATAATTATTTTTACTTGTATACATTTTTTATTTATTATTTAATTATAGATATAATATATTTTTTTATAATTATTATTTCATATATAGATATTTTTCTTATAATTATGTATTTAAATATAATTATACATTTATAATTATTTAATGAATTAATAGTTTTTTTATCTTATTTTTATGAATTACTTAGTACCTTACTTTAACACCGTTTTATATTTATTTGTATATTGTATATTTCTTTTTCTTGTCATTACTTTATTTAATACATTTTTATATAATTTATTACTTAAAACTGTATTGAAAATGTATTATAATTTAATTACATATATAAGCAATTAATTGCATTATTTCTAATTATATGTTTAATTTATTATCATTCAAATACATATATACACACATTTAATTACTTTTAATTTATTTAATTTATATTTATGCATATTTATTATTTAAAATGTTATTTGTCATTTATTATTATTTAATTAAATATATAAATAATAATTTTTACTTGTATTAATTTTTTATTTATTTAATTATAGATATATGTTTTATAATTATTATTTAATATATAGATATTTTTTCTTATAATTATTTATTTAAATATAATTATACATTTATAATTATTTAATGAATTAATAGTTTTTTTATCTTATTTTTATGAATTACTTAGTACCTTACTTTAACACCGTTTTATATTTATTTGTATATTGTATATTTCTTTTTCTTGTCATTACTTTATTTAATACATTTTTATATAATTTATTACTTAAAACTGTATTGAAAATGTATTATAATTTAATTACATATATAAGCAATTAATTCTTCATAATGTCTTGATACATGTCTATTATATATATTAATTAAATTATTTAATTGTATTTATTTTTTATTTATTATCATTCAATCAAATATAGACATTCTGAATTTTTTTTTTTTTAATTTAATACATTTTTATAGAATTTACTACTTAAAATTGTATTGATCTTTAATGTATTATTATTTAATAACATATATAAGCTATTAATTTTATTATTTTTAATTATATAATGTTTAAATCATTATCATTCAAATACATATACACACACATTTTATTAGTTTTAATTTAATTGATATTTATACATATTATTTAAAATGTTATTTGTCATTTATTATTATTTAATTAAATATATAAATAATTATTTTTACTTGTATACATTTTTTATTTATTATTTAATTATAGATATAATATATTTTTTTATAATTATTATTTCATATATAGATATTTTTCTTATAATTATGTATTTAAATATAATTATACATTTATAATTATTTAATGAATTAATAGTTTTTTTATCTTATTTTTATGAATTACTTAGTACCTTACTTTAACACCGTTTTATATTTATTTGTATATTGTATATTTCTTTTTCTTGTCATTACTTTATTTAATACATTTTTATATAATTTATTACTTAAAACTGTATTGAAAATGTATTATAATTTAATTACATATATAAGCAATTAATTGCATTATTTCTAATTATATGTTTAATTTATTATCATTCAAATACATATATACACACATTTAATTACTTTTAATTTATTTAATTTATATTTATGCATATTTATTATTTAAAATGTTATTTGTCATTTATTATTATTTAATTAAATATATAAATAATTATTTTTACTTGTATACATTTTTTATTTATTATTTAATTATAGATATAATATATTTTTTTATAATTATTATTTCATATATAGATATTTTTCTTATAATTATGTATTTAAATATAATTATACATTTATAATTATTTAATGAATTAATAGTTTTTTTATCTTATTTTTATGAATTACTTAGTACCTTACTTTAACACCATTTTATATTTATTGTTATATTGCATATTTCTTTTTCTTGTCATTACTTGTTTTGTGTACAACGCTCTGCTAATATTGCAAACACGATCATGTCAATAAAGTACTTTAAAATTAAATTGATATTAAGTCAAACCCTGCATAAAATCAAGTAATCAAAGCCAAAAACAGTGAATAATCCAGCAGAAAGCTCCATTCTCACCGAGTGTGTCGAGCTGGTTCATCATGCTGCGGGCGTCTGATGCGCTCTACAGTAAACACACGCGTGTGGAGCTGAGTATCTCTGCAGGCCAGGCTTTCGGCTGAAGGGTGTAGTTACAGCGATGGGGGAAGGCTGAGGACTATCTAACCCCTCTGTGTTCCCCAGTCAACAGGAAGTCAAGAGTATACATCTGTCACATGCTTGATAACAGCCGCTAATGCAAAGCCCCCGCTGCCCCTGAAAACTGCCCCGCAACTGACAGACTGTCATTATAACAGCACAATACTCTCACTCACACTAATACTAATACTAATACTTTATGACCAATCAATCTGCAAGATTGTCTAGGACTTCTCCAGACATGTGTGATCATGCAAATATAGGTGGAATCATTCACAGAAATGTGAATAATAATATTTTAATCATTTTAAAAATTATCTTTTTTTTTTTTTCAAACAGCAAAGTGAGCATATTGCAAATGTTTTTTTTTCAAGTCATCTCAGTTTTGTTTTTACTTTTTTTTTTTTACTGACGCTAAATAAAGTGATCACTAGATTTTTTTAAAACAACTCAAAAACTACATTTATTTTACACACGCTTGTGATCACTGGACAAATATTTTTAAAAATAATTTTTATATATTGCACAATTTAAAAAAAATGGCAATTTCTAATAAAAACAATATTTTATATTTCATTTATAACTTTAAAAAACCTTTGAAACTATGCATTTGAATTTATTTAAATGAATTCAATTGAATTAAATTATTGAATTAAATTTATTATTTTTTGCAAATATAGGTATATAGGTATTTATATTGCAAATATAGGAAATATATACACACACATATACTGCGCTATAAAACTATGAAGCCCATTTCCGCCACAGAAAAAAAATGTGTGTGTGTATATATATATATATATAGCCTATATATATATGTGTGTGTTACACATTTTTTTACATTTATATATATATATATATATATATATATATATATATATATATAT